TTTCATTTGGCTTGTGGCCTGCTTTGTTTTACCCCTCCCTCCCTACTGAGCGCAATATGAACTCTCAGTTAACAACCTTCAAAAATCACACTGATCACAGAACGATGCAAAAGGAATTTTATAGGCTTTAAGACCAATAGGGAACATTATGGTCGCTCAGCTTGACCTTCTCCGTAACACAGACCAAAGAACCCAACCCAGCAATTGCTGTATCAAGCCTGCAACTTCAGTTTGACCAGCAAGGCATCTTTGGAAGGATACTTACAAAGACCTACCAGATCTGTGTGACCACGTACTTCCGTTCTGTCACTCTTAGTAACTGCAGCAAATGACAGTGAAGAGACAGCTGCTCAGGTTTATTCTGATGCTTAACATGAGCAACTACTTGGATCATCAGAATGAACCATTTAACAGCAAATTAACCATTTAACAGCATCTGGATAGACAGAATCCTCATGGTCCTAGAAGGGAACTTCTTCAGGGAGCGCATAGAAGCAACATCTTGCGGGGTTGGGGGGAACATATCAAACGTACAGGAGGCTGAGGAGCTTCAGAGCAAAGGCCTTAGTTTTAGAATACCTCTCAGTTAACCTGTTTGCTAAGGTTGTTTTAATTCTTACTTCATTGCTCTTTCTATCCCCTGCTATAAGATCAAGTTTTGTACCGTCAGGCTGACCATGATAAATAGATCTTTACTCTTCATCACACTACTTCTTTCAAACATTAAGCATATTCTTCTATTAAACATATCCCATTAGCAGCCAACTCAGAGATTCTCCATTTTCCTGCTCCATCTGCTGGTGCCTGACTGTATCACAGCACAGGGAGGTTCGAACTACCCAGCTTTATGGGCGCCACCAACATAGCGTAGAGGACTCAATCAGAGGAAAAAAGGCACGGGTCGTTTTCTTATCTTGAACAAGAGAGTTCTGACTCTTGATGGAAAATAACCACCTATATATCAAATAGAACGGACTTCAAGAACTGAACTAAGCATCTCACTTGCAGGAAGCATCGGGTGGGAATTTGCAGATGGGAAATTACCTGGAAGATAATGTTCTCTCTGCCATATTGAAACATTACAACAAATATTTGCCTGAAGTAATCCATTAAGTTTCAAATGAGATATTTAAGGCATTGAAATATGCCTCCTACACACTTCCTTAAGCTGTCAGAAGTTGCAAATACCCACACATTTTAAATATGTAATTTATACAGCACACAAAGAACAGTTCACTTTCAAAAGCTGTTAGCTTTAAAATTTACTATCAAAGTTTTCTGCATTTATGCATGTGCTTTGACACATAGGCAAGTAAAAAATTCTAATTTACATTTTAAAAATGTTTCTTCAGCAACAAGAGAGCAAGTACATGGAAGTATCTTTAAAGGCCATTAGTCTTCTGCTTACGTGGCTTGCAGCCTTCCATCCTTCACTCCCTTTACAAGGCGACTGCTATTATTACGTGAGGTAGAGATGCTGCTGGCGAAGGCCAGTGCCAACGGCAGACGGTGTCATTTTCCTTCACCAACTGCAAGACAGAGAAGGGCAGCGCTCATAAGCAATGTGTGATTCTCTTTGAGCACATGGAAATTATTGCTTCGGCTGAATTGTCTGAGCGTAGTGACCCAGATACGGGCTATATTTACAAGGGACCAGATGTGTCCTGTGAACAGCCCGTCCCAGAGATAAAGGCTGCGGGTTAAGAGCTAAAGCCGGACAACAAAGTAACAATCAGGGTTTTTAGCAGCCAAAGCCTCAAGCCAAGGCTCAGAAAACAGAAGAAAACTACGCTGACCACAGCACTGGCTGCCCAGCCAGCAGCAGCAACCGCCCACCCGAAGTACCCTGTTCTGGCACGGTGGTGAAGGGGCAATCGCAAGCGCAAGAGCACCTCTGCTCCGGTGGGACAGTCGCTAACTGGACACAGACACACAGGCCCTGGCTGAGAGGGTTTCTGCTGGGTCAGCCCTCAGCCAGCTCCATACCGTGAGGTCTGGGAACTAGGCACGCTTTGGTTTCTACTAATTCTTACCACTCGCTAACCACAGCTATCAGGTGTTTCCTGAGACGCTTAGGCTATCTGTCAAATTTTTGGCACTGCAGTAGTCCTGTGGTTCTGGGTAACATCTTAGAGTCCTATCAAACTAGGACAAGACACTTCCCTCCTCCTTCGGTAAGCCCATTACAGTTTATAATGCAGCAATGTGCTCCGAGTGCCAAGAAGCTGTCCGTCTCCGTGTCAGAAGAGAGGAACCAACCACTCCGAGGAACCAAGCACTACCGAGTCCCGCATTTCACAACAACCCCCTTACCTAGGTCTCTAGACGTGCGTGCGCACACGTTTTGCTAACCTCACAGTGAGATGCAACAACCTTACGTTGGCTAGACATACCTATCATGGCTCACCCTGCTTTGAACAAATGACAGGGTCATCCATCATATCTAACCTCCCCATCTATGTACACCTGCCTAGCGTAGCAGTCAGCCCAATGCTGAGGTTTGTGCTGAGCAGAATCAGAATCCTCTTTCACGCTAAAGGAATGATTAAAATGGCAATTTGGATAAGAGCTTATATAATTTCTGCTTCAAAAAGTCACTTTGCAGATTTAAGGTCCTGTATCAGGAAAAAGGTGAAAGGAGCCCCTGCACAGTGCCAACAGGCATGCCCACCATGCCTTTAGGCAGTTTGGAAAGGCCGGAGAGTCTCTGGGTCAGAGTCTGATTCGGGCAGGACAGACAGCTACTTCTGCTTCTCCTACAGCAGAGCTCTGGGCTTTCTTTAATGCACCAGCATGATACAAGATGCATGATCAGAGAAAGGGAAGTGGCCAACGCTAACTTGAGTAGCCAACATTAACCATCTTGCATTTCCATTTCTAGGGAACGGACAAAACTGGCATGTACCTTACGGCTGGCCAAAAGCTCCTTTAACAGCCGCATACAACTGGTGCTGGCCTTCACCCAAACTTTCCATCCAACCTTGTGATCCAGCCATCTACAGCTAGGTTAATACAGTGAAAAATAACCTCCTGGGGGATTCTTAAATTCTTCCATTTGCTCTTAGTCCTCCTAATGATTTCTGCTCCGTTTTGTCACAGTTCATTTGTAGTTAGATCTGGGAATGTTCCCAGCAGTCTACAACTGATCTGCAGTTACCGCATCACCAATGCCTTCTGCTTGCCCTTGGTCCTCTCTCCAACACGACGGGTGGCAGTCCAGCGTAGAGCTGAATCAGGCCATCAGGTTTGATGCTGAGAGCTAGAGCTGGGAATATTGGAAAGGTGGAAATTTTATTAATCTCTGACAGTAAAAATGGAGCTTACCTTGCTCTTATCCAATTATTAGGAAAGCCAAGGTTTGTAGGCAAAGACTGACCGCTGCTTTGTAACCTCCATTTCTGACACAGAATTTCAGTATCTCCATATCGTCCCAGCCATGATGGAAAAAACATGTAAACAAGCAAAAATTTTAAGTAGCAGCATGGTTCACTTGACTACTAAGTTACAAGGTAACAACACTCCCAAAACACCACCAGCAGCAACAAAGGGGGAAAAAAAGGCAACTGCAAAGCAGCTAGTGTTTAAGTACCTGCCATATTTCAGCAGTCTTCCGTAAACAGGTAGGTTAATTCTTTGGGATTCTGTCCTAACAGCACCACCTCCTGGTGAACGCACCAAAAAAACCCAAATCACAATCGTGTCACAAATAAACAACCAAAAATTCTCTCTTAAGCTCTGCCAAACCAATTTCTAAAGAACGCCTAGTACATCAGATCACATTTTAATCCTCTCCTCCTCCCCGCCCTCCAATGTCAAGGAGACCTTTCCAACTCAGAGTACCCCTCTCATCCCATCAAACTGCAATGGCTACAATCCCTACTGACGTGTGTTTGCCACCATCCGATACCTACACTCCCCAAATCTTGGCACAGACTTGCGATGAAGCACGGCAGCAGTTCCAAATCACCGCGCTCGCACGACAGTACTGAAGACAGAACTAGCTGCTCTTCTTACGTTTCTTACTGTTCATGATATCACAAGCTCACAGTTTCCTCTTTGTCTCTGTTACAATCAAACGACAACAGAATGAGTTACTGCTGCTTTCTCATTATCGTAGCTTCTTCAGGCCTCAAGACCTAACGTCACACGGAGCAAGATGTTATCACTTTAGTGGGGTTTAAAATACACCGCTCCGGTTCTATGCACAGGTATTAAAATCTAAACGTTACTGGACGTTGCACAAAAGTTGCGAAAAGGAAATTGGCTCCATCAAAGCACGGACACCAGCGGGTACCGACCTTTCACGGAGTAGAGCCAGCAGAATGAAACATTCGAAGAGCAGGAGCTCATGAGTACCGAGAGGTAAATGCAGATAACTGATAGAGAGAAGTGACTTTGTATATAGCACCATATCCGAGTGACTTGGTCAGCAAATGGCATCAGCTGTACACACTTTTAATCCCTTCCCATTGCAAACTCAGACTATTATGGATAAGTTTCTGGCACGGTGGAATCACCAGCTTGTGCCCATTCGGGGAATAAGTGGACTAACTTAGCAAACTTAGCTACTCTTCAAAGCTTTAGCATACCAGCTGCTTCTGAAGAAAGCCTAAGAGTAACTGATGTGTAAGGCAGATCTTCCCAACGCTTAGGTTTTATACTTGTAGAGACAGAATTCCAGTCTATAAACTTACCCTACACAGGTAGGAAAAAACAGATTGTGTAAAACAAACACACAAACAAAACAAAACAAAAAAACACCCCTGGCAAAAGAAAACACTTTGTTCCAACCAACTGTGACCACGTGTACAAGCAAGGGGACATTCACAGCACTGGGGTATAGCCGTGGTTATTGGGAGAGAGGTTCAATTTCTACCTGGGACTCCTACATTGGTTTCATGAGCAATGCTGTTTAGCATGCAAAATACCACTTCAGAAGTCAGAAAGGTAAGGACTGCTATTAAAAAGCTCCTGCTAATTAGCTGTGGCTGTTTTTCCAGCTGCTGCAGACCCTGTCAGTGTGCTACCTGGAAGTTTGGGAAGAGGAAGCTGGTGTAACGAACACGATACGATGCACGAACGCTTAGATATTATTGAAGAGGTAAGAGCTATTGCACTGGCTCCTGGACCATACCAGACCTCTGCCTCATCCTTTTGACCAAAGAAAAGAAAGAATGATGCCTATAGACACTGTCCCTTCTTGATTTTATTCTATTCAAGGTCTGACTATTTTTTTTCCAGATGTCATGGTTAGTAACTATCCGTAAAGCCATTATTACCAGAAACATATAATCTTGATGAAAAGAAAGAAGAATGATGTCTATAGACACCGTCCCTTCTTGATTTTATCCTATTCAAGGTCTGACTATTTTTTTCAGATGTCATGGTTTGTAACTATCCATAAAGCCATTATTACCAGAAACATATAATCTTGATGAATCCCAAACAACTGATTAACCAATCACTATTACATATCAGCCTTTTCTATAATGTTTATAACTGTGCCTTTAATATAACCGTCTCAGAACTGATACCTGTAAAGTTTCACATCTGCTCTTGGCTAGATGTGAATGCTGCAGGTGACTCCAAGACTGACGGAGGAGTTTCTGCTCGCTTCTGCAGACGCTCAAAAGCTAAATGACCTCTATGACTGGGATTGTAGGAAAGCTGCAAAGTTTTAATTTTTTTTGCCTGCTGTCTTAAGCATTCACAAGATATGTGTCCAGTGCTAACTATTCCCAGCTGGGTAGCTGCCAAACTGCATGCTGTTGGTTCTCAAATGGCAACATTACCTCTCTCCCGCTCCAGTCCCAGCCCTCTTCTTACCACCCCACCAGCTCCTCTCATCTTCCGTGCAGATTCTTTTCTTGGATATGACGGTGGCTCAGAAATGAGAGAGAATTAAAAACAAATTAATGCAAAGTATTTATATACATTAATGCCCCTGTACTCGGCACTGGTGAGGCCGCACCAGCTCGAATACTGTGTTCAGTTTTGGGCCCCTCACTACAAGAAGGACGTTGAGGTGCTGGAGCGTGTCCAGAGAAGGGCAACAAGGCTGGTGAGGGGTCTGGAGAACAAGCCTTATGAGGAGCGGCTGAGGGAACTGGGGTTGTTTAGCCTGGAGAAAAGGAGGCTGAGGGGAGACCTCATTGCTCTGTACAACTACCTGAAAGGAGGTTGTAGCGAGGTGGGGGTCAGTCTCTTCTCCCAAGTAACAAGCCATAGGACGAGAGGAAATGGCCTCAAGTTGCGCCAGGGGAGGTTTAGATTGGACGTGAGGAAAAATTTCTTTACTGAAAGAGTGGTTAAACATTGGAACAGGCTGCCCAGGGAAGTGGTTGAGTCCCCATCCCTGGAAGTATTTAAAAGACGTGTAGATGAGGCGCTTAGGGACATGGTTTAGTGGGCATGGTGGTGTTGGGTCGGCGGTTGGACTCAATGATCTCGGAGGGCTTTTCCAGCCTTAATAATTCTATGATTCTATGATTCAAAGCTCCCTCCAAGAAGTCAAATTACGGCTGATTCTTTATACAGAGGTGCTGTAATTGAACTCTTGCGAAACAAAGTTTTAATACTCCATGCCACTAGAGGCCAGCATAACACAAGAAATATTTAAATCTGCACTGCGCAATATAAATTACATTAGCTGTTAGCATTATGGGACATTAGATTTGCACTTCCGCTAACATATTTGGTACGATTCCTTCCACTGGACCCTTTGATTACCCCCTTTTTCCATTTGTCTCCCTTGTTTTCATTAGAAGGTAATAAAAACAGTGGAGCATCTAGAGTCAGAAGTCAAATCGCTCCTCAACATCATCAGTGAGACAACATCGAATATCCCCATCGCTCCAGGAACCCCACTTATAGACATTTTTGATGGTAAGTATCTTGCGGGGCATGACCTAAGTCGAAAACAGTGTTGCATATGTTATTACCAAACATGTCATCTTTTCTCCCCCCCAAGATGTGAAGCAATTCCTTCATTCAATTCAGTGCAGCTAAGGCCTCAGCTGAAATACCGGGTCCAGTTTTGAACACCAGGTTTCAACAACCACTAAAGAGAGGGGGGGAAGAAAAGGGGTGGAGTGGGGGTGGAAACACCAAACAAACAAAAAGCCAGCCAAGGAGCTAGATACATGAGCTACACAGAAGCTACCACAGAAAGGTTGTTAAACCGGGGATGTTTAGACTAAAGAATATCGAAGTAGCCCACCAGAACGAGTAAGGCTGCCACAAAGATGAAAGCTGTGTTTTCTTCCTCATTGCAAAAGTGGGTAAAACAAGAAATAATGCAGCAAGACAGACTCAAGCAAAAAACACAAAGCAAAGCTTTCTTACAAGGACAGTAAACCTCTGAAAGGATATGACTGTAGTTTCCCCAGCACTGGAAATGTTAAACAAGCATCACACCTTAGAACAGCAAGAAGGACTAAGCAATCTCAAGGTCTCTTTCGAAAGTTTTAAGAGCCTGTGATTCTTTAGTTTCATGTGTGACAAATGAAACAAAGGAGGGCAACAGAACACAAAAAAAAAGTTATCGGAAGCATTACCATTTTGATATCTTAAACCCAACTTTGACACGCAAGCCCCTCACACAAAACATGCTTCTGGATAAGTGTTTTCGGAACAAATTAAACCTCAACAGAAATAATTTGGATGAGACCACCTATTCTGCACAGCTTATTATAACGCTCTGGCCTCTTCATTCTCTGCCCAAATATCAATATGCATTTAACAAGGTGAGAGAGACTCCTGGTGGAAAATAAACCTCTTGTGGAAAGGTGCGACCATCCACAGACATGTTTATGAAGTCAGTTTTGTCAGTGTTCGGTTGTTTGTTTGTTTAAGATAGCTGTACACAGGTACATACCCACCTGCGTACTATAGGGCACTTACATGATAGAAGGTGGGTTCGAAGTAGACAGCAGTAGAGTTTATGCTGGGTTTTAGTTCTTGCAGTTGGCTGTATGGATCTGGTCACCATGACTGATACGTCCTCACCAACTTTGTTACTCATTAAAATTTCCAGTTTTCTGTGAGGGGCAGTTAATAGGTAACAGTTAAGTTACTCCCCTGCAGCAATAATTTATTTTAAAAAGTACTCCAGTAAAGTGGTACAGTGAATTTAAAATGGAAATCCTAAGTCAACCTCGGCATATTTGCAGCATATCTATAGTAAGTACTACTCAGATGGAGCTTGCAACAACTGCTAAATGGCTCAAGAATTGCAGACAGGATCTTCCTTCTGTGATTTGGTGATTCAAAGTGACAATTCCCCACTTGGAAGTAGCAGGATTCATGTTTTAAACTATGTTTATCCACAAAGATTGATCCTGATCTTATAACCAAAAGTAATTACATCAACTCTTCTCTATACAGATACCAGCTGAGCACTGCGAAACCAGAAGACAGCATGGTTGTCATGAACAGTTGCACTTTTGTTCCTTTAATAAGCTTGTGTTTCCAGAATTTGAGCAGGGATGAACAATCCTCAGCTGTAGTTTGCCTTCTGTGTTCCTGTGCTTTATAATAAAGAGGTGTTTGCTTTTAGACACTATTTCAAAGCTTTATATTTTAAATCTTTCAGCAGCCCTACTTTATCAAAACTGCGTTTCAAGTACAGCATTCTCAGTAAGAAAACAACATCTGGCGGGGTCCAGACTAAAGCACAGCTAACAAACTTCCCTTAAGTCAAAAGCTTACTCCTTCCCTGGCAAAGAAGTGAACTCTTGCTATCGGTGTAAATCAATGAAGATACACTTTCAGCTGCAATTTCCTCTCAAGATATGCTTAGGTTGTCTGACAAAAATGAGTGTATGGAGTGGTCTGGCTTTGGACATAGTCACGTTGCTGCCTGCACGTCCTAGTCAGAACTGGGACTAGAATTTGTCATTTGGACACACAGCCACCTTATTCTGTAATCTTTACACTCTCCTCCCTTGCCGTAGTGACAATGCAACCCAGAATTAATTCCAACATCCACCCCCATGACAGAATGGAGAGAGAGAGCGTGCGTATGCACGTGAAATAAGAAGGTGTTTGCACATTCTTGATTAACAAGCAGGCAATTTTCACTGACCTAGCTCCAAACCTCTTCCCCCCCTTGTATTTTTTTTTCCCTTTACATGTTTCTATTTTGAGAACGACAAGCCGAAGAGGTGTCATCCATGCTAGCAGAGAATAAAAATTCAGAGTTCAAAGAGTCAGAGAAATTACAGTCTGCAAAATGAAAATACTGAGCAATAACTACAGATTACATGTATCATGCACAGACAATTGCTCATCGACAGCACACAAGTCCCAAACTCTTGTCAACACAACAATTCCTGAATAATTCTGTGCATTCAAGCAGAGAACCTCTATGGAAAAACTAAGTTACATAAACTGAGTCACCACTCACACGTAAATCAACATGAACACCAAAAAGCACAGTCTGCAAAGAGTTAGAAGATAGACAGCTTTAATTTCGTAATCTCTTCTTACATACATATATTTAAGGCACAATCCAAAACCTTAAAACATTAACCATAGAATCTTTACCACTGTCAACGTTACTACTGCCTCGTGACAGTTGCCCTAGCGAGAATGAAATGTGGAACACATCTTCCTTAAAAACAATCAAGGAAAGAAAACAGAACTTGACAAAACTTCTTTAAAACGGTCTTAACTAGACACAAAAACTCAAGGCTGTTCTCTCCACCTATCAGGGAGTAGGCTAGCATGAAACCAACTCTGCACACAATATAGAAAAACTTGCATTAAAATGCCACGTAATGTTTATACAAAATAAAACTTTAAATCATACAACTGTGATTTTTGTTTCATAAAACAAACATATTATTTCAGCATAATATAAGCAGAAAAGAAATAATGACCTGTCATTCATGGATTGCTGAGAGTACTATATGGAATCCTAAGCAGATGGCACATAAGCTTGATATTTATATTTTTTTGGCATTTATTACCTACTATTTTTGAAATGAAGACAAGATATATGCAATATTATCTTTTAAAATGTAATTGCTTTAGGAGAAACAGGTCATTACATATTTACTTTTGGAGAAAAAAAGATGCTTTAAAGCAAAAACATGAAAATAGCAGCTTTTTTAAGAAAAGCTCAATGCTCGATTTAGTCATTTCCACCGCACAACTTGAGTAGGATTTTCCGGTAGTCTCCTGAAGTATCACCCTGGAAAGAAACCCAGAAAAAGAAAAGTTGAAGACTCGTGCTTTGAAATAGAGGAAAAAAGAAGTGTAAGCATCCTAAACATGACATTAACGACCAAAAGAGACAAAGCCAGGGCTGAAAGAAAGCAGGCGTTAACCTCTTAAATTAAAAAAAAAAAAAAAAGAAAAATTAAAAAGCCTGCTAATTAGAAATCGCTCTAATACAAACACACAGTAAAATCTGCTCCTTCCATAACTGGAACCAAAAGTGTCCACAGAATATATTTCTTTAGCAAACCAAATTTGGTATACAGGTTCAACTACTTACCTGGGAATAGTTCAATGAAAAAAAACTCACTGAAAAGCTGTCTTCCAGCAAAAGGTATGAAAATATGGAAAAATACAGAAGTCCTTTTCCTTGCAGTCAATGTAGATATTTTTCCAGGGGCAGCAAGTGAAAGTTTACTCTTTATTATGTTCAAACATTACAAACAATGCTCTGACATCAAAAGATCTAAGGGTTTTTTTCCCCACAATTAGAGAAGACCTCTCTCATGTTCACACAAACATGCAATTAATCACAAAAGGCCCTGCTAGCTGAGTTTTGCCTGGTGCTCTCATGAGTAAAAAGCGTTCCCTGGGAGCTGCTCATTAACTAGTTTTGGTTGATGAGGCTTGCCTATCCTTTTCACGGAACAGTTTCAGCTAGCGCATTTATCTCCTCCTTCATCTTCAGGTATGACTGAAAACTGTTTTGTCCAGATCAAAATTATTACAACAGTGACAAAGAGACGCTTCAAAGATCAGGATAAATCCTGTGCACGTGTAAAGCACAATCTACAAAACATAAAACATTCCTGTTTATATGTGCGCTGAAAGGAAAGAACTGCTGTCCACTTACAAAAAAAAAAAAGAATTAAGAACTTTCTTTCCAAGGATGTTTTCGGTTCTACTTGTACAGAAATAAGAAGTAGAGTTTCCATACACATAACTCTGCACATGCATGCCCCATATTTACCGAAACCAGGTTTTGAATAAGTTCAGCCCATTAAATGGGTACGGCCTGTTCCTGTTTCTGAATGGTAAAATTATTTTAATGCCAGATCAAAAAAGAAAAAAAAAAGAAAGAAAAGTAAAAAAGACATACAGCTTTTCCACCAACGTCTCGCTGTTTTTTACTCACACATTGGTGGTTACAGGGCATGTAACTACTGTAGTGGAAGCACATCTTCACACCAGAGTTACACACCTGGAAAAAGCTTCTGCTAGGTGATCCTCTGTGGCACAGGCAGAAAGACCATAGAGTTGCTGGCAGAAGACTCGCATCAAGACTTTTTGGCGCTCACTATCCTTCACTATCTTTGCAGGATTCCTTCTAAACACCACCAAGTTGCAGCCCCTCGGTGTCAACAGCAGAAGGAATAAATAGGGGCTTAACATATCTGGCACCTTTATTACAAGGTAAATGAAAGTGGCACCACTCTCTCTCTTCCAGCTCTTATTACCCTCCCCATAGGTCAGGCATCCTCTTGACTGTTGCTACAGCCGTTAACAGCAGTAGTAGGGCGGATCAACTGCTAAAGAATCTGAAGTTTAGTCTATTTCCAAAATCTTGTAACATTCAAGAGAAAGAGGAGGCAATCTTTTAAAAGCATATTAGGAGCTTTACACTCTTTTAACACACACACATGAGGTAGAGCGCCATCGTTACTCAGTTGGAGGACTAAGTGGTTTCTACAAGATCATATACAGAGATTGGGACAGAGACCAGACTTAAAACCAGACCTCTGAAACCCCTCTGGACCGATTTCCCTTTCCTTCCTTGCCTGTTGGCTTCCTTCCCATCTCTAGTTCATCTAGCCCCCACGCAAAAGCAAGTGCTGTCTGTTCTCTGGCACTTCAGCCTCCACTCTCCTGACAAATGCAGCAAACCAAACACAGCCAGCTACACTCAGTGCAGTTAATAGGTATTCAGTGTAAGGATCCATGTTCTACCAGCAGAAAGGATGTCACGGCAGGGAAGATAAAAATCTCCAAGTCTTACAGTGATATCTGTGTAGAGGGATCTGCCATATATCCGCTTGTATTCTGCACGTATGTCCAGCAGGTCAACCTCACTGCGTGATACCATGATTCGGATCAGAGTTCTGTCTTTCGTTCCCGCTCCCTGAAACAAACAAAACAACAATATAATGTATTAATAATGTGTGGAAATACTGGATGATACAGCACTAGTAAAAAAATAAAATAAAATAAGTCATCACCCCACAAACGGCCGTTTACTAGCACAATCCCATTGACTTCAATAAGCTTGAACAGAATTTGGCCTATCCTGCTTTAATACGTTAAATTTACCAGTAGGACACTAACAGTCATTTCTCTGCACAAGAACAGTTAGGGGAAAAAGAAAGGGGGGGGTGTCAGAGGGACAGGGGGTCAGGAAAGTCTGGTGAGTTTAATGGCCTATTTATTTCAGCTAGACCTCCCTACTTAAAAGATATCAATTTCAATGAGTCTTAAGCATATTTGTGTTTTGCCAAGGGAAGACTTCCTTTGTTTAAGGTATGGTTGTATGCATCTCTAAGTGGATCAAATTAGCTAGATTTTTCCAGCCTTTCATAAGAACGACTACATCTTGTTAGTCATCTGCCCACTGAAAAATGTAATACCTTCAGCTGAACAATTCATTTCAATGAGCTGTACAAGCATTTAAAAAAAAAACCATAAACACATCAAAAACACCACAAAAACAAACCCACTATAAGTTTATATATCTTGTCACAGGCACCTACCTTCATAGCTTTCTGCAATCTCTCCGCAAAAAAAGCCGGTGTGTTCTTGAGGCACTTAACTGCAAAAAGAAAGAGTATTACAGAAATCAGGTACTCCTCCTCTATCAGAAGTCACAGTCATTTTTTGGGGTTACCTAGATAGTTACATGCTTTAACTCTACATAAACATACACTTGATACGATGCAGCTTCCACTCCTTCAGTTAGTCACTGAAATGCTTTTTAATCCGAACAGTAGCTGCAATAAAGTTAAAGAACCTACTACACTTCGTGGCTCAAAGCAAACTTTTCCGTCTTGCATATGAAGGGAAAAGAGGGGATGGGGAGGAGGCAGAAGGCTTGAAGGAACACATAGTTAGCAGTGCTCCGGGCTTTTTCCTAATTTAAGACTTTTTAGGCCATGCATCTGCAAGGTATGACAAATTCAAGTCCCGCCCTAATACAAGCTGGGAAGCCACCTACGACAGAAACCTCACCCTTATTTTAAAGTTAAACTTTTTTTTTTTTTAGGCAGAAAGTTCACCACGGCTCCTGAAAAATTCTTGACATGCTTATTTAGTAATGGCTGGATTTTATACTTAATTAATACGGTTCATT